ACACACACACACACACACACACACACACACACACACACACACACACACACACACACACACAGACAGACAGACACACTCACACACACACACACACACACACACACACACACTCACTTTAACATCTTCAACCCACACCACTGTTGTTAGTGTCAACTAAAACAATAACTAAAGTCGTTTTTGATCATTGAAATGAAGCTGAAATTATATGTGTAATAATAATAATAATCATATAAAATAATTAATACATCAAATAAAATATTTGATGAAAAACGTTAAAACTACAAAAATGAGAAATGCAACTATCCAAAATAAATGTTTAAATTGAAGTGCTAAAATTGCTAAAACTAAAACTGAATAAATAAATAAATAAATAAAGCATAAATTGAAGCAAATATATATAGAGAGAGATTTTTTTAGATGTAATAAAAGTGTCAAAAGCAAGTAACAAATTTACTAAAACTTATTAAAATATATTAGAAGGAAGAGTTAATTCAAAATACTAACAATTACGGTCACACTTTATTTTAAGGTTCAATTTTCACTATTAACAAACCATTAATTACAACTTTTTCCTCAGTAAACTCCTAATTTGCTGCTTATTAATAGTTAGTAAGGTAGTTGTTAAGTTTAGGTATAGGGTAGGATTAGGGATGTAGAATATGGTCATGCAGAATATGTGCTTTATAATATTAATAAACAGCCAATATGTTAATAATAGGCATGAACAACTAGTTAATAGTGAGAATTGGCCCCTATACTAAAGTGTTACCATTATTACTGTAATAGTATATAAATAATACTAAAATAACTCGACTTGAATCCAACAGTCTTAGACTACAATGAAATTCTGGCATTTTAGTCAATTAATTGTGATCATGTGACCTTTTGTACAGAAGGTGAGATGTTCTTGCTTCCATTGAAGCTCATGATGTTGTAGCGTCTGGACCAATCAATGACAGACAGTTGACCCTGAGAGGTCAAGTAAATATCTACAGCGGATCTAAATATTTATAATTAATTATAACTAGTTATGATTAATTATTCATATTTCCCTTATGAGCTGATTCGCTACAATGTTCTTCTGATCATTCTCAAATCGTGTTTGACACAAACTTGCATGCTGCTGTCATTAAAGCAAAAGAGAGACAAACCAAATATCAAGAGATTATAAATTCATATTAATGAATATTACATGGTAGTCAATCAGCGTGAAAAGCTTTGAAGACCACTGGTGTCCTGGGATATGGTGATTGAGTCATTGCATATGCAATTTACTGTACATGCAGTACAGTACGTACATCTTTACAACCCACAGTGATGTGTGCTAACATTAGCTCTGCCTCCACTCTCTGCTCTCATTGTGACTGCATAATGTCAGGCCCTTCATTACTCATCTTCACTGGAGTAACCGGAGTAAAGCTAGGCCATTTTCTCCCTATATCTGGCCAATCAGAGCACACATCCCCGCTATTTTTGGACAAAAGACGTACAATATCAATTCCCTGAGCTGATGAGAACTAATTCTGAGCTGGCTGGTGATGCCCTGCATAGTTCACACACACACACACACACACACACAGCCGGTCTTCATCAGAGCATCACAGCACTGATTTCTCAGGATTAAGCAGATATGATTGAACTGAGGTGGAGGTTTGAGGGAATTCATCAGCTGGATCCAATGAGGAGAGGTTAAACATTTCTGTTCTTCGTGACACCTGTGACTAGAGCAGCAGCGCTCTCATTACTTCTGTCCTTCCTCTGAGACAATTTATTTCAGAGCCTCTCTGAAATTTTGGTTCACCCAAAAATGGAAAACTATGACCGTTTACTCACATGCTGTTCCAAAACCAGATAAATCTCATGGAAACATTTCCAACTCACCTTGAAGTTGTGATGTAATTAACGTAGAGACAGATCTTTACTTCTATATTGTGATGAATATTATTATTATTGAAAAGATTATTGAAAAAGCAAAACATGTAGGGCGGGCTTGATTAAATTACTCAATTGTTGATTGGATGGAGGCAGATCTGAATGTGAGCTTACAGTCGAATGTAAGAAAGGGGCGGAGTTTAAGTGGACTAATGCAGTATAAAAAGTGACGTGACATGTGGCCAAGTATGGTGACCCATACTCAGAATTAGTGCTCTGCATTTAACCCATCCTAAGTGCACACACACAGCAGTGAACACACACGCACCGTGAACACACACCCGGAGCAGTGGGCAGCCATTTATGCTGCGGCGCCCGGGGAGCA